TATTTGATCTACAAACCAAAACAGGAAGTCTGTGCAAAGATGAAGACTTTGAAATTTTTCTTTTTGCTGCCATTTTTTCGCGGTAAACAAAGAAACATTCGAAATCTGGTCACTCTTATTAACAGGATGTCCACTTCAATACTGCAGCTGTGCTCGGATTTTACAATACGCGCACAAGAATAACAAGCTCTCAAATTCCTCTAGCCTTACCTATTTTCGCAGTTGGCGGGGATTTTGCAAGGATCGTCACGCCTCGGTCATGGGCTCAGAAGACGTGCAAGACACTACCCCAACAATATCTGCAGCAATCAGAGATTTGATCCATTCTATGGGAAAATGGAAGACTTCAAACTCATCTAGTCAAACGCTGGGGCATTTTTAGGTGCAAAACAGGGTCAAGCGTGTTGATGCGATCCTAACCCTCTTCTACGACCCCCCCCCCAGAAGATGGTAACCTGCATAAATGAATGTTAATCTCAAAAGATGCCTGCCAATGGACCTCAATCAAAATTATTGATCAGAAATAGATAAGTACTTACAAATTAGGAAATAATGCAAGTATTGCTTCGCCATTCAAAAATCAACTCACAAATAATTCTGCGTAAATAGGGTAAGTAGTAAAATTCCCCGAAGATTTGGCTATGTTATTGTGGTTGGGAAAATATGAATGGAAAGGACATTATTTGACAAAGCAGAGTATCGCTTCCAATCTGAATGACAATTAAGCTTTACTTTAAGATTTACTAATTATTGACGGTCATCGTTGGTAAAAATATGGGATTTTGTCGAGTGTGTGAGACTCATACCTTCGATAGTCTAGAGACAGGGCGTCAAAAGTGAAGGTTGTTTGAACATCTGAGGTCATAAATAGTGAAGGTTGTTTAAAGATGATCAGAGAAGAGAAAATGACATAAAACAGATGTAAAAAGCAAAAGAAACTGCTGAAAACCGGATAAAAACGCTGAAATGAGGCTTGAAATCATTCAATTGGCGGCTTTTCAAAGTGCAAGTCTTCGCTCCAGGACCAGCAATTCGTAACACGGGGTTTTAATTTTTGATGCGTCCTTTAGATTTTTACCCCCGCATTGACGCTCCTGTTTCCTGGGACGTTGTCTGGATTGTTGCGCTTATTGTTCTGAGCAACAATCGCCCAAGCTGGGAAAAAACCGATGCGAAAGCGCTGAAAACAAGGTAAAGAAAAACGCACTTTTTACGGTTTTTCGCAAAAAATTCCACCATAATCCAAGAGATAAGAGCTGGGTGGTTGTCTGCATCATGAACACAAGCAAGATCTATAGACTGCATGAAAAAACCGCATGAAAAGAGTTGAACTGGAAGAAAAACAAGAGATTTTCGAAAACAAGGTTTTTGCCGGATTTCTCGACCAAATCAAAAAATGTGGTTTTGGGACGTTGTCAGCGTGAAAATAGAGATTAAGAGCTTCAAAATGATATATAGCTTGCTAAATTTGGGTTCAAAACAGCGAAGAAAAGGGCACCAGAGCCAAATGCCCCGCGCCCCGCGTATGGGGTAGCGAGGTAGCGCGCAGCGCGCGGAGACGCAGACGAGCAGCGGAGCCAGACCAGAGCCGACGGGGCATTTTTGGTCGTAGATCTCTGCGGGGTCTCAACGAAACCCTGCAACATTATATATCATTCTGATCGTCATGACACGACGAGGAGAACTGACAACGTCCCAAGCTTCAAAATTCACTCATTAACGAGATAGACCAGCGTTTCCGTACGCGACTCTCTGCGCAAGATTTAAGGCAGTTTCTCGCTCTTATTTAACTCTATTTGGCTTTCCTAAACTTCTGATACTCGATTTTGTTCAAATGAGAGGTTAACTAAGAAATTTTGTTCTGAATTCTGGCAAAAATCTCACACAAACCTTTTTTTAAGCTAAAAAACGCTATGAAAATGCAAATTCTCGGTTTCGCTGAGATAAGCTAAAAATTTTGTTCCCTATATTTGCTTCATTGACATTCGTTCCGATATAATCAGGATATTAACATCCGGGGCGAAGCCCGGAAGACTTCTGTTTTTTCCAGGTGAAGTTTGTGTCCCCTCATAGCCCATAAAGTGAAGGTTACCAGAGTACGTGGCTCTATGTATCGAGAGTATGGTGAGACTTCAGTGGGGCTTCGGAGGCGGAATTTCTGAGCCAAGGGGTACGTGCAACATCTCTGGCACGCATACACACCTTCAATAATGTCTGGGTTTCTGCAAGTTTTTTGAATTTGCAAGCATACTTCTAGCCAGCAAAAACAATCCCCGTACGCGACACCATTTTTTGAAGGGAGAAAAAACGACATGTTTGAAGCGTAAAATTATGTTTTCGACTAAAAGGCTTACTTCCTACCTTCTGTGCAGATTTTCGTGCGAAAAAACTGTTTTAGCGCCTTCCAGAACGATGTCAAGAACGTGAATGAGCACGGCATTTTGAAAATTCGTAACTAAATGTGGAAAAAGTTTCAGCCATTGAGGAGCAGTAAGTTCGAAAAAATCTAGATGCGACTCTCGCAAATTTAGATGATCCTAAAAAGCAAAAAGTGGGGGGATGGCTTCGTATTACAGCAAGTTTGCAGCTAACAAGCTTCAGTACTCCAGAAATTTAGATGAGGCGCAAATACAACCCCTCTTTTCTCATTTTTTGCTACCATACATAAAATCATAAGAAAATCCACAGTTGACAAAATAACACCAAATTTCGCACTGATATAGCAGAGCATCTCCAAAGTACAGATAAATCATACGGGCCCGTTAAAAATATTACAGAAGGATTTAGAAATTCATGATGGTCACAGCTGGCAAAGATATTCGCTTTTGTTGAGAGATTTCTGGGGCAATCGGTAAATTTAGCATTTTTTATCAAATCATAAATCCTTCAAAAGTGTTTTGAGCTCTTGTAAATTTCTTTGAGAACTTCTACAGACGTTTATCACTAATTATCTGCTTTTTGATTCCCTTTTAAGCTTAGGGTATTTTAGCCTAACTATCTCCTCTTACGACCCCCCCCCATCTTGAGTACCCTCTTTACGACCCCTCGTTGCGACAGCGCATCACAAGCTTGACCCTGGTGCAAAAATGGTCGATGTGTATAAAAGGCTCAAGCAGAGTTCTACATAACTAACGAATATGAGCTCTTCTGCAGCTCCCTTCGTAGAAATTTCTGCACTAACAGGCCAAATTTTGAGTCGAAATTTTCCTTACTGCGCATGCTGCTGGTCCAAAATGAAGCGCTATGGTCCCAAGGTCCCAACAAAATAGGCATACTTTGTAGACAGCATTGCCTTTGCAGGAATTACACAACTCTCAAAAGAGAAGCGGTTTGCTTGAACATACAGCATTTGAGGAAAAATATTTCGCAAGTGCCCGGTACTTTCCTTACAACCTAATATTATGTTGATTCGAAAGTAATGTCGCTTTGATTTAAAAATTATTAACTGCTCCCTTCATGAAGGTATTGACTTACAAAAAATGCCACTGGATAGAAAAACTTATCTATTGTTTAATCACATCTTCGCTGCTGCTTGACGACAGGTGACTCTAGAGATAAAAATTCGAATAGCAGAACCGCTCATACTCGTGATTTTCGAGGATAAATTGTCAGAAATCTGAGACGCCGCAGAAAAATCTCAAAATATGTTTTTTAGAGGTTCTGTGAGCCTGCTCTTCTTAACAGTGCCAAGTATGTGTTGATTGAGCTTACACGGAAGGTCTGATTTTCGTGAAAATTGCAAAAAAAACGGCAAAAATGGCGTTTTATGCATTTTTCTAGTGTCTTTGTATTGTCCGAATAAGATGAAATTCGGTTGAATGATACATTGCGTTTGCAGAACACACTTATTTCATGAAAAAGTGTAGCAACACTGTAAAACATTTTAATTTCAATGCTGTTGTCGTTCACTGTACCACATGTTAACCGAACACCACTTAAAGACAAGTTTATAGTTTGAGTGGCAGTGGCCTAATTGCACAAAATTTATTTCGACGTTACATAGGAAGATGAAAAGGCGACAAAGAATCGCAACAGGGTAATAAGTTAAGGACTGCAAAATGCTATAAAGATTTCGAAAGTGACAAAAATAGCTTTTGCTACTAGACATTTGTTGCAACTATTGTCAGACTATCTTTGTGAGTAAAGCAATAAGCGCCAAACTTTGCAAACATACAGTGACCGCCAAAAAGTTGCGGACAAGCCGCCTTCCTATTTTCATCGCTCAATTTCAGATGGAAAACAAAGATGAAAAAATGATTGGATTGCATGAGGTGATGAAGCTCCTCAAGAGCTACAACCCATACATTGCACTTTCTGAAAAATGTATATTCTAGAAAGTTCAAAAATCTTTAAAGAAAAGTCCGAGAATGGTCGCGTCACAATGTCGCAGACAATAATTCTTCGAATGCGAAAGTTTTCTTTTAGGTATTTTCTTGGAGCAAAAACAGAAGTTTTCCGGACAGGTGAGCATACTATACTGTAAAACTCATCGAGGACAACAATCGGGTTGTGGTTACTCCCAAACAATACAAGCTTGAATTTTATTTTGCTTCTCCTCAAAATACAACCTCTATTTTCTTTTTTTCAAGCCAAATTTCTTCACATGGAAACCTATTCAAGACATTCCAACAGCGTCATTCGGGTAAAATGGATGCTTTTTGCCATCCTCTAGGCATCGGACATGGAGTTTAGGAGTTTCTTTGCTGGAAATGGGTCTTGAGAGTGCGTGCACATGACCCCACCTGCACCTCACCACTGACATGCACCGCTTTGCAGGCTTGTAGCACAGCCGCAGGCATTCTACGAGCCCGCAAGTAGGCTCATTTGAAAGAGCATGACTTACTCTACATGATGGTATGCAAATGTGTGGAGTTTGGAAAATCATGAAGATTTTACGGCTCGGGTGAAAAAGCGCAACTTCAGTGGTAGGCTAAAGACTTGTCAGCTAAAGCCGAGCAAAGCTTCTTTTGCCATCATTTCCATCCTACAAGTCGTAGCGACTCTGCCTCTCAGCCTTGGAGGGAACTGTCCGACTCGTCCAAATTCAATTTTTAAGGTTTTGGAAAACGCACCTTTCGCTTACTAGCGAAAGTAGGCGATGCGTACTTTCGTTAGTAAGCGAACACCCTGACATGGAACAAGAGCAACTGATAGATCCAGCAATGCTGTAAACACTCGCGAAATAGAAGTTTGCTTCATAGTAATCTAGAAAATTTACAACTCGTGAACTATTTACTACAGATCGCCATTTTCCTAATGGTGTGGCTGTTCTTCATGCCCATGTCCATGTTTTGATCGATATTTATAGTGCAATCGATGTTCCTCCGGCACAGCAAACTCATATATCCAAACACACACCTGAAATGAAATTACATTTCAGACCTTTGAACACCTAATTAGATATAAGAAAAAAGTAATTGACGAAAAAAAGTAGGCTACCTGCACAGTCAATACAAATGCAGCAACACGGAAAAGACCTTTCCCAATCTGACCGTATGGAGATGAAGACCAGATGTCCGACTTAGTATTCTGGAACAAACATGGACTCGTCAAATTCACAACACTTCGAGATACAAACGAGAAAAAAACAACCTACGATCGCATTATAGGCAGCATAAGCCTCCCTTTTCGCTTTGCCAAACATGAACATTTTTGGCTGATTGTTCAGATTGTCCCATTTTCCTTCACTAGCAAGACGATTAATCTCTTTCCATATCGCATGTGGATCTCTGAAAAAACGATTACTGTTCGCACACCAATAATGAACTAGCTTCATCGTACTAAAAGGAGATAGTAATCAGTATACTTAGGAAAATTCGATTTTTTTCGAATACTAGTGAACCAGTAATCTAAAGGTGCTATTCGGAAGAGCGTTCGCGGGACCGTTTCCCGCTATCTGCACATTTTTGAATTGCGCTTACGATTCTTTATATATTAAATAGATAGATAGATAGATTAGATTATTCGAATATCGAATAATATTTTAAAGTTGAGATTTTCAAATATTCGACTTCGAATAACATTCGAAAATGAAAATTTTCGAATATTCAACTATCGAATATTATTCGAAATCTCAGATTTTAATATTCGAATTTTCGAATCATTCGCGTTTGAGTCATTTATTCGAATAATCGAATAATCATTCGGTTCGGCTCAAGGTATAGTAACCAATATATACGCAAGCATGGCTAGCACCAAGGATTTCGAGTAAAAAGTAAGAAACCCGCTGTAGGTAAACCATTTTGGATTAAAAAACTGCTTTTTCTCATCGGAACTATTTTTAAAGAGCTGCCTCTTTAGCATTCAACATCAACACTTCGTATCTTAATTCATTCACAACGCTTCAATTCATATCAAAAAGTCATAAATTCCGTGAATTCACAGTGGGGAAGATCCCGCCCACTTCTGATTTCCCTCCAACGTTAAAGCCTTTTCTCACCGTTTTCGCGCTTTCAAGCGTGGACTGATAAAACATAGCGAATAGGCCCTGGTAAGGACAAAACCTTAAAATCGACATTTTGCCGGGACACTGCTTTTGAAAAAGCGCCTCGGCAAAATTTCGTTATCCAGTTTTGCACCTATTCGGAGCCTGCTCGCCCTGAGGAACCCATATCTGGCTTTTTCAGCGCATAATTGGCGGAAACGAGCCTTTTTCAAAGCTTTCAGGTCCGCCTTCAGTGAAGATACGCCGGAAGTCCCCCCTACCTCGTTTCGGACCCCGCCCACCTGCACGTATTTTCCACTGATTGCAGACCCGAAAAGCTTCAATGAAAGCAGCTCATCTTCGCCATTTTCATGCGCTGAAAAGCCTAAATATGGGCTCGTCATAGCGAGAAGGCTCCAAAAAGCTGTAAAAGTGGAGACAAAATTTTGCCACAATATCCAGCAAGTGATAGGTATGGCATTCTACAGCATTGCAAAGGCAGACTCTCCAACTATTCTATATGTGAAGTTTGAAGCAGGCCGCCTGGAAGGCCTGAAATTCACTTCGAAACTCTCCTGAACCTCGCCCACTTAAACATATATTCTGGCAAATGCGGACATGAAGAGCTTCGAAAAAAGCTCATTTCGCCATTTCTATGCGCGGGCAAGTATGGGTTCAGCATAGAGAAAAGACTCCAAAAATTGGGAAGCTACAGCTGCCTTTGACGGTTCTCTCGAAGTGTGAGTGCACAAGCAAAAGCTTGAATTCGCTCAAAAGCAAAACCCTTGCAAAAAGGTTATTTTAAGAATGACTAAACCAAGTTAGAGTAGGTGCCATACAAATAGGGATGAACCTAAACGTTAGAGCATGATACAAGAGTAGGCGCGCTACCGAAAGCTTTGCTCATTCACATGGTAGAATAATATGAGAAATCGAAAAATATATATACACAGTAGAAACTCACTGCGTTGATGTTGCGAGCCGTCTAGATGAGAATCGGGAGAGTACTCGGGTAAGCCCGGACATGCGTGATCTGAAGAAAATAATCTAATTATTCTAACTACATTCAACATGCTAACCGCCATCGATTTTTCATTGATGCAACTTTATTTCCATTACAATAAAAGCACCTTTACAAAATAGGTTAGAATCGAATCCGACACATGAGGAAAAAGCGGCATAAAACGCGATCATAGGATTGACTTCTATCACGAATATGACTTCTGGAAGTTGCGTCAAAACAGTTGTAATTTTGCGTGAACTCTCCGGTCCTGGCCAGACTTCGCTCAAAAGCGCTCAAAAGCGCCCAAATTTCTCTAATTCTCATCTCTCCTCACACGAGGAAGTGAAGAGACATTACAGAAATTTGAGCGCTTTTGGGCGCTTTTGCGCGAAGTTCTGGCCAGGCCTCCTGCTTCCTTTATAGTCGCGGCTACGCCATGCAGATTATGTTGGAAAACTCTGCATAGCACAAAACTGCTGCATTGGGCTTTATGTGGATTCCACTAAAAAGCGTGAATTTGGCAAGCAACAACCAACAGCCTCAGAAGCTGATACATTTCACTCCGTTTTCTCCACCTTAGGATCGCTTTCCTGCAACAAGTTAGGGCGAAAATGGCATAAACTTCCGAGCACAGAAAAGGGTTTCCATGGTGGAGAGAACTGAATTGGCTCCGCATTTGTCCATCATCTTAATCTGAATGGTCGTCGCGCGATGCTTTCCTTGTGAGCAAACAAAGATAGAAATTTGAAAACTATGGGAAACACTAGCATTTTCCGCATGTACAATAAATTCAGGGATCTAGAAAACAAAACAAAAAACCGAGAAGTACGAAGAACCCACCACTTTCTCCGAGCTCTACGAAGCCTGAAATCCAGCTGAATGGCACCGAATTTAAGAAACGCGAAATAGTCCAGCGGTCGCGACGCGTGGTGGCTAGGAGCGCCGCAACTACCGTGCATTCAAAATTAGTGACTTTCTGGCTTTTCTTTTTTCGTGGTGCTGTTCAGTATATGTTTGGGTGGTGTAACGGCTTCTCACTCCATTTTGTAGTTTTACTGCAAAGGTTCATACCTTATGTTGAAAAACTGCATCGGGAACAATCTTTGGATTGTCTTGTTCATGATTTTCATGTGTTTCATTTTCCTTCTGCATTATCTTGAGAGCAGGGTCTCATGGATTCGCATATTTCTCGTCTTTTGTACCAGTCCACTCCAATCTTTTTTTCATTATAAGTGAAGTTGACAGGAACAAGAATGCAGGTGAATGGAGACTGCGCTGTTGCTGAACAGCCAGTGGAAGCTGCTGAGCCTGCTGCGCCACCTATGAAACAAACGGCCCAAGAATGGTTGAAGGGAGCTTCATTCAAGGAAATCCTTGGCTCTGACGCCAGTCACAAGGTGTATCAAAGGTTTCTGGCACTTTCCTATATCACGCATAAATTTTTAGTCCCTCTTCGTTCTTCTTGACAACGTTAATGGAGAAAAGGGAGTGCTTTTGATGAACAAATCTGCGTTTTCTGAGAAAGCTGAAGATGTGACTGCAATCATAAAGTCTGCACAACTGAAAGAGTTAATGAGGAATGACATCTTTGGCAATTATGATATTGCTTTACCTTCGGATCTCAATTGTAAACTCTTTCTTTCCTTGAGACTTTAGATAGCCATGATATTCTTTCAGTAATCAAATCTCAGTTGATCTACCCTGCTAACGATAAAATAATTGCTAAATATCGACAAGAGGAAAAGTTTGTCATCCGTGAGACAGCGGAGGATTACCGTACCATCACAGTGGAATACATTGAGAAATATCAAATGGAGCTAAACGTATGCTTGTCTCTGCTGATAAATGTGCTAGTAATAAGTGTATCCCATTTAGTGGGTGTACAACGTCTTGGCAAAGCGAAAGGAGGCTGAACGAATTATCTATGAAGATCCTGATCCACATAATGGCTTTATCTTGGCTCCAGATATCAAGTGGGATGGTGTATCTATGGAAAATCTCTATGTCCTAGCAATGATTCATCGACGAGGAGTGCGATCGATTCGATGAGTTTTCTGTCGTTTCTTCTCAGCTTCTAACGGTATCCCATCCCAAGTGGCCTAAGATTTTATGTGTAAGGGTTATTGACATGCTCATTTTTGATTCTAAGGCTAAAATTTGGCGTATAAGGTTATGACGCTATTTTCGAAGCGATATTGACTCTACACAGCAAGGCTCGTATGTGAATTCACTGTATGGGCAAAACTTCAGGAATTTTTGAGAGTATTAAGGGAGGAGGATGTGACGCTCTTTACTGTCATTTACTCGCTAATTACCAGTGCATTGCGCGACCGTTGGTATTTATGCCTACATCTACCGTAATCCTCCTCATCATAATTATTGAGTGGATAAAATTTCATCGTTCTTGACGAGGATGCTAAACGACATCCTTTGATAGATTTTGAGCCTGAAGCTAACAAGGGAAACGTGTTTAGTCGAAGTGGCCTTTCTAGATGAGATCCATACTGCTTTGAAGAGCCTTGAGCGGTGATTCCAAGTCTGTCTTCGAAATCTGCCAAGCGCCTCCGAACGTCGAGTTATGGGCGTCTTTCAGGTCAAAAAATTGAACGCAAAACTGGAACAAAGTCGCCCAAAATCGCTCGAATAGTTCAGTATCAAGTATAAAAGTCGTTTATGCAATGGATACATTTGTCTAATATGCTAGTACTTAACGTTGCTTCAACTGAGCGCTGGAAAGATTGTAACAATCGATTTCACCTAAATTCTGCATCTGTTTTCGTTCTGAAAAACGGTCATAACTCGGCCATCAAAGGCACTTAGCAGATTTGAAAGATAAATTTGGAATCACCGGGCAATACTCTTCAAAGCAGTATGGGTCTCATCTGAAAAGGCCACTTCGACTAAACAGGCTTCCCTTGTAAGTTAGTTCCTCATAATTCTCCGATTTCAGAGCTATTTCGAGAATCGTATCTCATTTTCCTTCTCGTTATAGGATAGTACAAGATGACACTCGCTTCTCAGCAGTCCTTCACCACTAAGTTTATCTTCTTTTGAGATAAGGAGTTTTAGTGACCTAACCGCCGACGATCTTCCCATGCTTGAAAACATCCGCGATCGAAGTCTGTCAACCATCCGCGAGAAGTACGGTGTACGACCGGATCAGATCAGAGCCTATTTCCATTACCAACCATCGTTCTTTCACCTGCATGTGCATTTTGTTAGGTAATAGTTTTCGCTTCTCTCACTCCGTTTTTGACCATTCTTTTTATAGCTTGAAATATGATGCCCCAGCCAGCACAACCTTGAGTGCGGTGTTGCTTGATGATGTCATCAGCAATCTGCAGCTCGTTCCTGACTATTACAAGAAGGCCACCCTCACATTTACCAGGAAAGCTTCAGATAAGTTGTTAGAGATGTTTAGAGAGGCTGGTCGTTGCGAAAAATGATTTGTTATTTTATGGGTGTACCTATTTATGTACTTGTTGATGCAACTGGTTTTGTGTGGACTGATACTCACCATTTTTGTCTTAGACAGTGATTCGTACTTTTTATTTCTTATGAGCGTACTTTTTTAGGAATAAAGAGCTTGGTTGTTATTTTATGTCGGTGTTGAAATTGTGGTGATTCTCCTTCTATAACTTTTCGTGAATACTTTGTCTTTCTCATCACATAATTTTTGTGTCTACTTGGTCTTTAACAAACATTTTAGCAAGATTTACTTCCTCGCTAGTTTTGCATGAGTTCGCTCTTGATATTATATGGAAGCGAAACCGGCACGGCAGAAGATGTTGCTGAAGGGCTATGGAAGGAAGCAAGACTTCTCGACGTTCCAGCTCGTCTTCACGGCATGGACGACTACACTATAGAGGTACTGACTAGTGAAAGTTTTGCTTTTATATAGTCTCCAAAGTTTTCGATCTTTACCTGGCAGTGAAACGAAAGATGTACCATCGTCTTGAATCCGTACTTTTGTGCTTATATACAAATAGCATGCAAGTTTACAACAGAAGTGATTTTCACAATACCTAGAACAAACGTATCCACAGCTCAGAAAACGTTTTAAAATGATTTTTTGGGAATAGAATTTTATATGCAGTCTTAGCCTCATGCAAGAAGTCGATCTTGTGATTCTGTGCTTACCTGGGTCTACTCGCTATGGTGAATTCGTAAATCTGCACTGGAGGGCGCGAAGACGGCGAAAAAGGAGGGAAATGAGCATGGGCGGGGCTTCCCGCTCTTTAAGTCACTCATCAACATGAAGAGCGATCTCCTCGCTTCTGGTAGGCGCCCTAGCATTGCCACCGGCCAAATGCGAACGGAGGACTTGATTTCGAAACTGAGGATGGCTTCTGAAGCTGAAAGAGCAGAGAACGCAGAGAAGGCCCCTCACCCACCTGCTGATTTCCCTCATGTGTTGGAGCCCTTGACATTTTCGCACTTTTCAGCATAGTGAATAGGCCCAGGTAAGCACAAATCTCAGAATCAACTTCTTGCCTAGACACTGCCTTTTACAAAATTCTTTTGATATAATTTAGAATCTTCCTCAAGAAGTCGCCGTAGTTTTCGTAGTGGCTACAACTGGTCAAGGTGAAATTCCACCGAATATGCGCAATAATTGGCGTCGTCTGCTCAAGAGAAGTTTGGGCTCTACTTGTTTACAGAATGTGAGCATTCACTTAACAAAATCTTTATGCTTTCAACAATAATTGAGCGCTTCAGGTGAACTTCGCCGTTTTCGGTCTGGGTGACTCTTCATATCAAAAATACAACTATGCCAGTAAGAAGGTTTATAGGAGATTGTTACAGTTAGGTGGCAAGAATCTCGTTAACATTGGATTAGGTAAGGATATTGCTTTTCTTTACTTACACCATATGTCTAATTTCCACCATGTTGTCTAATTTAGCTGATGACCAGCATGAGTTAGGTATCGATGGCGCTCTTATTCCTTGGAAAAAGGAGTTTTGGGATGCACTAAGAGCGAGTGGTCTTTTTGAGGTATGCCAAAACATTTGTACGTTGAGATAACCATAAGAGCAACTAATTTCTCCCAGAACATGAAAAAAGAGGTCGATCCAGACAGTGTACTACCCCCGAAGTACCGCTTGATTTTTGAAGAAGTCACCAATGGACATTCTTCATCTGCTGCAGATTCTCAAGAGTGGCATCAAGTCACAGTCATAGCAAATGAACGAGTAACATCTGACAGCCATTTCCAGGTTAATTTTTTCCCTCGATTTCCACTTTTTTCTGATGTGCTTATTCCAGGACACTCGCTTGGTTTCTTTGAATATTGATGACATTCCGTCAAAACCGTTAGTTCATGTTCAGATATTCTTCAATTTAGGTTCTTTCGACTATGAATGATTTAGGGGCTCGGATGTAAAATATGATCCCGGTGATGTGCTTATGGTTCAGCCTCGCAATCATAGCGAGTCCATCCAAATCGCACTGGACGCGCTGAAATATCCGGATGAACTTCTGGACCGTCCCTTCCATCTGGAGCCATCTGATGAGCTCATAAAACTTCCAGCAAAATGGCTTATAGGAGGTAAATGGCCCATATAAATTATCATTCTCATTTTTGAATAAATTTATAGAAAGGCCAACACTTCGGTTGTGTCTCACGCAACTATTCGACCTGCAAATGATCCCCCGCAAATCATTTTTTCAAACTTTGGCTTCCATTTCCACTGATGCAGCAGAAAAGGAAAAACTACTGGAGTTCATCACTCCAGAAAATTTAGTATGTTCCGCTTATTTTTTCATGTTTGGCGAGAACTGGTCCTAGCCTTATTTTGCCTTCTTGCTAGGATCATTTTCTCGACTATACGACGAGAATGCGTCGTACGACCGCGGAAGTATTGCGCGACTTTCCGGCAACTTCTGCTAATATTCCACCTGAAAGACTTTTCGACCTTTTCGTCAACATACGTCCGCGAGCGTTCAGCATCGCCAGTGAGCCAATGATGAAGCACCTGGAAATACTCGTTGCAAAGGTATTAGCATTTATCGAACCACATCTAAGATGAAACTTGCAAGTTTGTATCTATAGGTAGAATATAAGACTCGGATGGCAGATCCACGAAGGGGCCTGTGCAGCACGTTCATTGCGAGGCTCACTCCTGGTGATAAAGTGGGTGTTCACTATCTTTTTTTATATACAGCAACTTTTGCTTGCCTTCTGTAACATTCTTCTGTTCAAGCTGTTTGTACGAATACGTGCAGGAACGCTAAAATTCCCTAGAGAGGACAAGCAAGTGATTTGCGTAGGACCTGGCACTGGAGTTGCTCCATTCCGAAGTTATCTTGCTTGGCGCAACAAGTATGCTCGCGGACTTCTATCATATGTAGAACTAATTTTTTGGGTTTATTTCTAGATCCAAAGAACCAGCTAAATCTCTGCTTTTCTTTGGATGTCGTGGAAAAGAAAATGATTTCTATTTTGAACGAGAATGGAATGAGATGCCAGCTACACATGTTTATGCTGCTTTCAGCCGCGATACCGACAGAAAAGTAAGCTTGATTTCTTTTGTGTCCTCTACAAATACCACGCAAAATTTGCAGATCTATGTACAGCATTTGATTTTGCAACAAGAAGATGAAGTTTGGGAGATTCTCGGTGAAAATGATGGTGAGGAAAAGCATTCTCAATGATCACTGTCTAAGCTTACGCATCGTAGGGCAAGCGTTCGTTGCGGGAAGTTCCGGAAACATGCCGAAGGAAGTAGGCGCTGCCATCGACAAAATAGCTGTGAAGCATGGCTGGGTTGATGGATCATTTCTCAGCAAACTGGAGGCTTCAGGTCGAATGCAATATGAAACATGGTCATAATCATAGCTGAACTTCGTAGACATTTATCGTAGAGTTTCTAGAGACTTTATTTATTAGTATCCAGTGATTCTCATTGTCAGCAGATTTCTACATCTAGTGATCTTTACGTGTTCTTGAAAACGTGGTAGATTAGTGCTGGTTCTACCACTGGTTTCTAGTTGAAATTTGTTTGTTAGTTTTGCTAGTCGATATTTGTGCATTAGATTTTTAGTAGGTTTCAAAGGAAGTAGCCCTTGTAATAAGATTGTTGGCAGGAGGCAGCCCAGTCCTATTTTTACTATTGCTTAGCGGGTTCACTTTCATGTGTCCATGGTATTGCTATTGATTTTCACGACTTCAAGTCCGTGACTTGGGGATAAACCAATTTATTTTTATCCAAAGGTGGTTTAGGACTGCGCTGCATCCTGCATCCACTTCTTTTCTAGGTGATGATTCCAAATAATAAGCACTTCTATCAGTTAGTGCATAAATAGTTTGTTTTGTCTCGTTTCTTCGAGCACGTCGCGAGTTCAAGTCTGTATTTATCGATCTGTAGATGATTCGGTTTACTATTCTTTTCACAAAAGTTCTGAAGAATGTCGAAAGTCGTGATTTGATAGTGCTCAACAACAGTATATAAACTGAACGTATCATCGGCTCCACGATTCGTGTAGAGGCGGGGTTTTGCCAACTCAAAGCGTGGCGGTTTTTGATAGCGAGAGAGTACAAAACAATGTTATGACGTGGAGGTTTAACAAGTTTACCTGTATTATCAGGCAAAGTCTGCAATACACTTCTAACTACACGAATCGTGGAGACAATCGTACGTCTTGTATGGACTAATCTCTGTATATGATCGGCTCCCAGATTCCTGTACAGTATACTTAGGACCGAATATTTTCCGAATATCTGCATTCGAATGATCCATTCGAACTAGAAAAGTCAAATGTTCAGAAAAGTGCATTTATCTGATTATCCGAATAGTCGAATAAATGAAAAAGACTTTTGGTCAAGTATTTTTTTATTGAGCGAATTGAAAAAACAACTTATTCGAAATTTTTGAATATATTCGAGTAAAATTTCAAAGTTATTTTTTTCCATTCGTTGAATGAACAAATATTCGAATAAAGGTCTTTTTCATTTACTCGACTATTCGAATAATCAGATAAATGCACTTTCCTGAATATTCGACTTTTTCGAATAAATCATTCGAATACAAATACTCGAATATTCGGTCTTAAGTATACACCCTCTACACGAATGGGGGAGCCCATGACACTTATCGTCTGCGCCCCAGAGAGATTCCCATATGAACCAGCTTGCGTACAGGGCTCCTAAATTGCAGAGTCGTTTGCACCAGCGGTCGCGCGACCGCGTCGCATCCGGGCATCAATGGCGCCGCCTCGATCGATGGCGCCGGCGCCGGCAAAATGCCCGGGCGCGACGCGGTCGCGCGACCGCTGGTGCAAACGACTCTGCAGTTTGGGAGCCCTGTACGTGGTGCGACGCTGCCTTTCGCTTTCTTGACACGTTTCCCCTAAGATTTCAACGGAACTGCCGGAGGTTAACACGTTTAAAGGCATCGTCCACCCAAAATGGAGGTTGGCGAGATTATGATGGCATACTAGTGTGGGCCCCCATACTAGACAAATCTCCAAGCTTTGCCGCAAAAGACTGCTTCTGGAGCGAGAAATCCGCTCTGGAAGTAGCAAAGTGGGCGGGGCGCCCCCGGTCGCCCCGCCCACTTGCATGCTTTATCTCGGGTGTATGCCAGGATGAACGATAGCTGGAAATAAGCATACTGTACTCGTGCGGTTGTCAATATGCCGCGCCTAAAGTCTTATTTTTTGAAGCGATATGTTCTTTACTGGATTGAAACTGGTGTCGAACAGTAAGAATAAGGCGGTACAGAGCTTCCAGCGTTTTTTCCAAAACTTTAAATGTCATCATAACGTAAATCTAAAATCTAGGAAATATTTGACCTACGCAACGCATATGGCTGGCACATTCTATCGTTCATGTTGGCTGCCCCCCCCCCCTTTAACTCGCCTGCGCTTGTTGCAGAGGGTTCTCGAAACAGGGATTTTGGGGGGTTTCGCGGATTTTCGACTCCATATTCGGAATCAGGGCTTTCAGAAGGCTGAAGGCGACAAAAACATTGAGTTCGAGTTTTTAGGTGGACGGTGCTTTCAAAAGAGCGAAAGGCAGCGAGATGACGTGGTACCTGTAGGAATCTTGCTGGTGAACAAACGGTACATCTTGACAACTGTTTGTCTTAAGTGAAGCATAGCTCAGAGCAGAATTCGAATCGTTGCCGAGAACTGAAGAATTCTCACATGACCGTAGTAGTTGAGAACGATAATCTTCTCGGAGATGTACAGTACGGGGCAAGGCCAGAAATGGACTTCTCGGCCATAAATGTCGAATAGGGATAAATATTAGGTTGGCTAATAAATAAGTTCGGTCGCTTTTTCAGCTCTTACAATCGTTGTAGACAAATTTTTGTCCAATGTCTGGTATCTTTGGAAAGAGCGCTTTAATGAGTATTGGAGCTTATATTCTATTTGAGTAAAACTTATCTTCCAAGGAAAAAAAATCCGCAAAGAATAGGAAAAGCGCAAATTTCTCATAATCGCAAATATGAGGAAATTTGGTTTTCTTGGTGAAACATTTTCAGAGTGGCAGATCACAAATTTTTTTGTTATTCACTAAATACGGAAAACAACTCTGTATCCAAATACCAAACTGCTGTTCTGTACATCCATTGCAGCATGTAAACGAAGTTTAGGAAGTCAAAGAATTGAGCTTTTGGAAATTTCGCCATGTTGAGGCATAACACTATTTACTGATGATAGAAAATCCTAAACAAATGATATGTGATAGAGGAAGCTTTAAACTACTTTCCTACAAAGAATCATAGACAGAAAACAACAAGAAAATCTTTTATGATGATTTGTATGCCAAAACGAACTTATTTTTTAGCCAACCTAATAAAAGAATAAAGAATGCGGCGTTTTTAATACCCTCTGGCTATGCGCCAAACGCACTCCAATTCAAAGTCGAATAGGCTAGTGAATGCGTGGGGGTTAATTGCAGCGACTTATGGGAGCCAGCCGATTACCAAGTCAGTGATTCTATCCTCCCAGATCACTCTGGTACCAATTTACCGGCCCCGGAGGGTAGAGGGCTTGGTTGGCTCAGGGGTGGGGATCGAACCTGGCCCGACCTGGTCATAGCGGCGCCTCATAAATAACACTACGCCACTTGTCCCCAAATGTCAAATATGTTGCCATTTTGGTACCTATAGTTAGTCAGGACTTCTTAACCAGGGTCAAGCAAGGGGTGTGGCACACGATCGCTGGTTACGACCCCCCCCCCCCGATTGCTGTCTTAATAAGACCCCCTCCCCTGAACTATATACCTAAGATAGCATTACCAGAGTTGAGAAAGAGGTCAGGCACAAGTCTTTCGAAACCCCCCCCCCTCCCATGAAAGCCCTCAAACGACCCCTTCTTCTTCCTCTTAACCTCTGGACCTCAAAGTGTGACATTCTGGAGGACACCATCTTTTTCTAGAGAGTTTTCAGATTTCTGAGAGCTGTACTCCCGATTTTCTGTGACTGCACTTTACAATCACACGTAATTTGACGGTTGATTTTGATCTGAATGGGCATATCGAGAGGGCCATAATTTTCTTAAGGGTGGGGCGTTCGGCTCCAAATTTCCAATGTAGCAAGAAGAAGCTATGTGCTCAATACTCATATCATCAGCAATGGAGCGCTTTCTGGATTTTGAAGGCAAGTTAAGGGGGTGCGGCACACCCCCTTAAAAGCTGCGGCAGCCGCAGCTTTTAAGGGGGTGTGCCGCACCCCATTAACTATATCAAAAAAACATTTTTAGCGGACAGTCTTTATATGAATCAATAGCCTAAACCTTGTAGATTTCATGGGACTGTTTTGAGCCTGATTCGTCTTCTTAGCTCTGAGTAATATTTGGTGAAAGCACAGCGATCAAAAGCGAAAAATGTGAAAAACGAGATTTTGGTTGGCTTCTAATTCCACACTCTGGAGGTCTTCTGAAGCGGGATTCCTGAGGTGAACAAAGAAGGAGTAGTGCTTTGTCTTGAGTGCAAAAACGGATAGCTAATTCACCTTTGAAACAAAGTTGACCATGTTGGAATTTGACCATTTCACTTAGGTAGCTTAGTATCTTGAATCTTCAGAATTCGCCCACACTTTGTCTACAGGGGTTATTTGACATGCTAATTATGGATAGGATACGAATATCATGTTATCACTATTATCAGATTACCCAACTACAACCCCCTCCCCTTTTGACTCATACGACCCACCGGTCCGGCGTGCCGCACCCCCCGCTTTACCCTGTTCTTAACCCTTTCCCAGTTCCCGCAGGAGGACCAGTATTAATATCTGTGTCAGCCGCTTTTGGGTGCATTAGTCTAACTTTCGGATTCTATGTCGATTCGTTGAACGCACGGACTGGACATAACGCTTGCCCCACTACAAACTCACTGCTGTACAAGTCGTGCTCTTGCAATATTTCAGCCGCTCCGCGCATTGTCCGCAACGTTTAAGAAGTTCATGCGGTCAACGGATTGACGATAACAGCCTGTAAGCAAAGTACGGTCTTATTGCCATGAGATGATCGCGTCTGCTGTTTCCATGGCTCGCTATAGCTCATCAACCACTTGGAGTGTATTTTCTTCTTTGAAAATTTCGTAGTTCTGCCCGTTTTGCTCGAAAAAATATCAGCAGATGGGAGCCGTAGGTCTGCGTGTTTGCGCAGAGTGCACTCAAAGTGTTTTATTGACGTCCACATGGTCGCTCTCTCTATAGTTGGGAAAAACCCAATTATCAATGTATTTTGTGTTGTTGTGATACTCGTTACATAGCCACATTCAACCAAACTGTTGGATTTACGCAGAGTTTATCTAGATATCCATATGGGCTTATGATCGCTGAAAAACCATAAATGATCGATTACGCTTTCAAGCAGGAACTTGCTCGGACGCGAGAAAACGTAGATGATTTGTTCTACTACGATGGACATAAGGTATGCCAGTTTTTATGTTTACAAAATTGCTTTACTTCAATTTGTTCACCACTATTTTACTTCCGTCAGAAATTTGTATATCCATCAGCTGTGAAGATTTTGAGCGTCTTCGTTCACCTGTTTCATCGTGTCATATCTTTGAGTCTCCCATCATTCGCTTATTAGCCTGGTTAGGGTCCATAGATACCTTAAACCACGGAAGTATACGTTTTTTTCAAACATTTATGGTGTTCATAACACTCTCATCAAAAAAGTGTGGAAATATATCTCCATTCTTTGTTGCCCTATGTGCTTAAATGTTACTGGCTGAGTCAAATATAGAGGGAAGTCTTGGACATACCCCTCTCAGCACTGGTTTTAGGATTAGTCCTCATCGTCATCGAAAATAGTCAGTAATTTACATGCTTTTAACGTTGTTTTTATAGGTTGGACGTGGAACATACGGACATGTGTTCAAAGCTCAACCAAAAGTTCCATCTGCTAAGTATCCTGCTAAAGAGTATGCCTTGAAACTGATAGAGGGTCAAGGTTTTTCGATGTCGGCATGTAGAGAAATCGCATTATTGAGGGAGCTGAAGTATGTTTTGTTGCTATTCAAGATTTTTTGTAATCGAGTGTTATATGTTTCAGGCATCCAAATCTCATTTGCTTACAGCGAGTATTCCTTACTAATGAAAAGAAGGTAGGCTTAAAGCTTTGCGAAAACGGCGTAATTTTATATTTCATTTCTGTCGTAGGTGTGGCTATTGCTTGATTATGCTGAACACGATTTATGGCACATTATCAAGTTTCATCGAGGCGCTAAAGCTAAAAAAGTGCCGGTCATGGTGCCGAAAGGAATGGTGAAGAGCATATTATATCAAATTCTAGATGGCAAGTACCCATTTATCTCATTTTCTCTCACCTATAATTTTCTGTTTCTATTTCCATATTTGGCTTTCTAGGAATACATTATTTACATTCAAACTGGGTGCTTCATCGCGATCTCAAACCTGCAAATATACTAGTCATGGGTGATGCCCCAGGCGTGCATCGTGGGAGGTAAAATTTCTTTGTTCGAAGCATTGTGTAACTTGATGATAGTCCTTCAGGGTGAAAATAGCCGATATGGGTTTTGCTCGCATTTTTTACAATCCATTAAAACCTCTGGCAGAGTTAGATCCAGTTGTGGTGACGTTCTGGTATCGAGCTCCAGAGCTGCTGCTGGGAGCCAAGCATTACACTAAGGTTAGCGGGCAAAATATTCAACGCAGTTCTTATTTTTTTCTTATTTCTGTACTTTGTTTCTTTATCTTGCTTTTTTTGTTTCATATTCAACCTCTGCCTTGATATTTGCATAGTTATCTGTGCTTTCTGTTATTTTATTTTATTTTAGGCAATAGACGTTTGGGCAATTGGTTGCATATTTGCTGAACTGCTTACCGCAGAGCCAGTATTTTTCTGTAAGGAAGAGGACATAAAAGCACAAAGCCCATATCACTACGACCAACTGAAGAGGTGGGCCAGTTTTTCAGTTTAACGTCAGTGTCGTAGCAAATTTTCTTCTTTTTTCTAGGATTTTCACTGTCATGGGTTATCCACAAGAGAATGAATGGTCAGATTTCAAAAAGATGCCTGACTATCACAAGCTCCAGTCGGATATCAAGTCCTCTCAGTGCGTTCTGCACTCTACGCTAATTTTCACCTAAATCCATATACGATGTTTTAGGACTTCCTTTCCCAACTGCAGCATGACGCGGTACATGGAAAAACACAAAATAGAGTCTGATTCTCCTCAATTCAAGTTATTGGTGAAGCTTTTGACTATGGATCCCAATAAGCGAATTTCCTGCAAGGAAGCTATGGAGGAGCCGTATTTCAAGGTAACCAGTTTAGTACACTAGATTTTTACTCTGCTATCGCTTGTGTTGCGTTCATCCATGAATCTTATATATAAAGCTGAATGTCTGTTTGTTTGTATGTCTGTATGTCTGTATGTCTGTATGTCTGTATGTACGAATGTTCCGAATAGAAATTTTTATTTCTGAACCGATCCGGACCAAACTTGGCACACATACACTTCGGGCCCCGGCGGGTGTCATAGGCTACTTTTCGTCATCGATCGATATCGATTTTATCGATTTTTATCGATTTTTTTGCTGAGTTCACCTACGGGGCTGGGAGTTGGCACAGGGGGGTAATCGAGCATGGGGATTCCGAATACAATATTGGTTTTCAGGATTATCGATTACTTTTATCGATTTTATCGATTTTTTGCAAAGTTTGAGCTACGGGGCTGGGAGTTCGCACAGGGGGGTAATCGAGCATGCAGATTACGAATACAATATTAGTTTTCAAGATCGTCCATTACTTTTATCGATTTTATCGATTTTTTGAAAATTTGAGCTACGGGGCTGGGAGTTCGCACAGGGGGGTAATCGAGCATGGGGATTCCGAATACAATATTAGTTTTCAAGATTGTCCATTACTTTTATCGATTTTTTGAAAGTTTGAGCTAGGGGGCTGGGAGTTGGCACAGGGGGGTAATCGAGCATGCTGATCATCTCCAAGGGGGGTGATCAGCATGCTCGATTACCCCCCTGTGCAAACTCCCAGCCCCGCAGGTCAAACTTTACAAAAAAATCGATAAAATCGATAAAAGTAATGGACGATCTTGAAAACTAATATTGTATTCGTAATCTGCATGCTCGATTACCCCCCTGTGCAAACTCCCAGCCCCCTAGCTCAAACTTTGCAAAAAAAAATCGATAAAATCGATAAAAGTAATGGACGATCTTGAAAACTAATACTGTATTCGTAATCTGCATGCTCGATTACCCCCCTGTGCAAACTCCCAGCCCCGCAGGTCAAACTTTACAAAAAAATCGATAAAATCGATAAAAGTAATGGACGATCCTGAAAACTAATATTGTGTTCGTAATCAGCATGCTCGATTACCCCCCTGTGCAAAATCCCAGCCTCGCATGTCAAAATTTACAAAAAATCGATAAAATCAATAAAAGTAATCGATAATTCTCTGAAAACTAATATTGTATTCGGAATCCCCATGCTCACTTCCCCCCCTGTGCCAACTTCTAGCCCTGTAGGTGAACTCTGCAAAAAAATCGATAAAAATCGGTAAAATCGACATCGATCGATAACGAAAAGTGGACTGTGACACCCGCCGGGGCCCGAAGTGTATGTGTGCCAAATTTGGTCCGGATACGACGGAGCCGGGTAAGCCAGCTAGTCTCTCATATTTTTGTTCATATCAGATGGATCCGAAGCCTACTGAGGATGTGTTCTACAAGTTTGATATACCGTATCCAAAACGCGAGTCGTTGCCGGATGCGGATATCAAGAAATCCTTGGCCATGAACATCGTTGATGATCAGAACCAGCAGGCAACCAACCCACAGGTTCGTATTTCTGAGTTCGACATAATTAGTAAGGAATTGCCGAAGTTCTTTCAGGTCAGCCAAAATATGAATCAGCAACTGGACTCTGAGCCAGTAAACAAAAGACTACGTATGGGTGGCCAACAGGTGTGGAATTGTTCTCTGCCTGGAATTCTAATTTATCAAGTCACTTTTGATTCATTCAGATGAATGCCAATAGTCAACCTATGTTCCCCAGCGGAGAGTTCCATCAGCCGATGCAAACGCAACATATGATTTCTCAATCAAGTGAGTGTTGCGTAGTTTTCGATTCAACTTTTTGTTAAAAGATTCGTTGCTTTGAATGGTTTGCTTGCAGTGGACATGGGAGGAATGATGAATCAACCCCAGCAACAGTACCAGCAACCTCCCATTTTTGCGGTAATTTTTATGTCTGAGATGTATTGTGGTAGCCTTTACATATCTACATCAAATTACAGAGCCAACCCATGCCGACATCAATGCCAGTAACTCAACAACAAATGGGCATGATGCAGGGTGGACAGCAGTTCCCTCACCAAAGCATGGGTAAGTCAAAACATTTCTTTTTTGCAAGCTATATAAGGAACTAGATGGCAAACCCGGCTCCGCCCGGGCCTGTCATTATTATATTCGTAATCAGCATGCTCGATTACCCCCCTATGCCAACTCCCAGCCCTGTAGCTCAAATTTTGCAAAAAATCGATAAAATCGATATCGATCGATAACGAAAAGTAGCCTATGACACGCTCCCTGCCCCGAAGTATATGTGTGCCAAGTTTGGTCCCGATCGGTTCAGAAATAAAAATTTCTATTCCGCACATACGTACAGACAGACATACAGACATACATACAGACAGACATTCAGCTTTATATATAAGATTATCATGTCTGCGCTCTAGGAATGATGCAAGGACAACCGATGATCATGCGTCAACAGATGCCGCCATCATATCAGCAACACCCGCAGGGAATGATGCAGCAGTCTGGAGGTATGTTGCTTTGAGTTCTGTTTTCTACCATTACGGTGATTTTTTTTGTTATCACTTCTTCTTTTCTTCCGTTCTCCTGGCTAGTTCTTTATTGTTTGGTGTGCTCTGTTAATATCGATAAAATCGTGGCTCGTTCGGATAAGATGTGCTGTTACTGAAAGGTGGAGGGGCGACAGGCTGGTATTAAATCTGCTTTTTCATTTGCGGAACTCTCCTGGCCAGTTATGATTTTCAAAAGATTTCAACGCTGTAAAACGAATACTCTCTTCTATGCGCTTTAAATCAGTGGTGAGCGTCAAGGCAATACAGTGATTACGTTGTGTCTTACCACGCCCATACCATGCCCATCTCTGCTACGTTCCAGCCCTAAAAACTTAGAGATAAATTTTATCCTAATTGTCGGCCTAGTTTTCGCTTAAAAACCTCGTAAATGCCCGCCCAGAGCCGTTTTGCAATCAAGGGAATGTTGGATAAGCATTTGCATGTAAAGAAAGTGCATCTTTCGTTTGAAAAAACCACAATTGCCTTTGACATCAATAGCATTAATTCAGAATGTTGCTTTTGGACCGATTCCGATACGGAAGAACCAGATCAGTTGAATCAAAAAGTTTTTGTAGTGCATCAGTTATGATTTTTTTCACAATAATAAACGTTACAGGTACTGTCGACATGATGGCCTCTATGCCGCCGGGCATGCATAATCAACAAATGGGTATCCAAAACATGGGTGGGAATCCGCCACCATATAACATGATGCAGCAGCAAGGCCCCCAGCAGCCTCAGCAACAGCAACAACAGTGGAATCATTACCAATGAAGAGACGGCTAAGTCGGCATTTTGGGATACTGGTATATTTATTTATTAGGTCGTTTTAGGCAAGTTCTCTCTCATTTTCACAAAGTTAAATTTGCATGATATAGCGCTCGTAGAGCATTTCGCTAACCGCGATTCATTAAACGCTGCTTGGATTTGAAAGGGAAACTGTCTTATATTGTTATAGCGCATATTACTACAATGAATGCTACGTAATGTGGTCTTCCTGGAGAGTATTCTTGTGTTTTCGACATCTGATTGCTTGTAGCTAATTTTCTGTACATACTTCAGTCGTCATCTCTAGCACTTATGAGTGTTTGTTTTAGTCATCCTTGGCTTGCAAATGTTGGTTATTGACATAAATCTGTTTTGCTGTTGCGTTTCAGTCACAGGTTCGAGCAAGCAGGAAAACGAATTCAAAGGTGGATTTGGATTTTGACTGTTGAAAACAAAGAAACGAAAACAAACCGATAAATGATCTCATCAGAGAACGAGGTACACATTCTGCATGGTCTGTGTCAATGACAGTGTCAACATCATCGTCTAGGATCCGCGCGACCGCCCTTCCCGGGCACTGAGCCGCGCTCGCGAATCTATCGTTTGGTACCCTCCCCCCTACGGTTTGGATGTCGCACACATGAATCATAGATTCCTTAAGTGACTTGTTTTCATTCTCAGTTAGGGAGTAGTTTTAGAAAATACGGAGACCAAAAGTGGTTTGTGAAATTATTTTTTCTTTGCGTGGTTACTTCCACGCTCATTTTAAAATTCGGATTTACAAATTCGCAAAATCTTATAAATATAAAGCTGAATGTCTGTTTGTCTGTCTGTATGTCTGTCTGTCTGTCTGTCTGTATGTCTGTCTGTACGTATGTTCCGAATAGAAAATTCCATTTCTGAACCGATCCGGACCAAACTTGGCACACATACACTATGGGCCCCGGCGGGTGTCATAGGCTACTTTTCGTCATCGATTGATATCGATTTTATCGATTTTTATCGATTTTTTTGCTGAGTTCACCTACGGGGCTGGGAGTTGGCACAGGGGGGTAATCGAGCATGGGGATTCCGAATACAATATTGGTTTTCAGGATTATCGATTACTTTTATCGATTTTATCGATTTTTTTGCAAAGTTTGAGCTACGGGGCTGGGAGTCGGCACAGGGGGGTAATCGAGCATGGGGATTCCGAATACAATATTGGTTTTCAGGATTATCGATTACTTTTATCGATTTTATCGATTTTTTGCAAAGTTTGAGCTACGGGGCTGGGAGTTCGCACAGGGGGGTAATCGAGCATGGGGATTCCGAATACAATATTAGTTTTCAAGATTGTCCATTACTTTTATCGATTTTTTGAAAGTTTGAGCTAGGGGGCTGGGAGTTGGCACAGGGGGGTAATCGAGCATGCTGATCATCTCCAAGGGGGGTGATCAGCATGCTCGATTACCCCCCTGTGCAAACTCCCAGCCCCGCAGGTCAAACTTTACAAAAAAATCGATAAAATCGATAAAAGTAATCGATAATTCTGAAAACTAATATTGTATTCGGAATCCCCATGCTCACTTTCCCCCTGTGCCAACTCCTAGCCCTGTAGGTGAACTCTGCAAAAAAATCGATAAAAATCGGTAAAATCGACATCGATCGATAACGAAAAGTGGACTGTGACACCCGCCGGGGCCCGAAGTGTATGTGTGCCAAGTTTGGTCCGGATACGGCGGAGCCGGGTAAGCCAGCTAGTGGAAAATGGAAAATTTTTCCTGGAGGGCATGGCTTACGCCGCGCTCCTTTATTCAAGAAATCTCTTTCGTTATAAAGAAATTTCGTCAGTGGCCACCGCCCCCTCCTCTATCTGTTGACTTGTTCGCGTATATGCAGCTATGTACTACAAACTATAGTTGAAACGACCAAAAAATTTTGTCGAACTAATGGATTTCGAATAATCAATCGGCTTTTGAAAAATATTCGAACGAACGAATATCATTCGATCTGTGATTTTCAGATTATTCGAATTCGAATATTCGACATTTCGACAATTCTGCTACATTTCAAAATTCGAATGAACGAATATTCGAATAAATGGGGTTGGTCGAATGTTCGACTTATCGAATAATTACATATGGTCGAATATTCGACTATTCGAATAATCGAATAATCATCCCTGTCCGGATATTCGACTATTCGAATAATTCGAATAATTTAGCGGCTCAAACAATGCTGGTTTTTTATTTGTTGCGGTTTGCAAAAAAACTGAATCGCTATATTTGATCTAGATTTGAAGCTGTTAATTATATGTGTAGCAAGTGGTAGGATGACTAGTTATTGTCGCTGGTCAGGGTTTCACCTAGGAAACAAAAGAATTTCACTCAAACATGTTGTTCAAGGTGTTCGTGGCCTTTTAAGGACAGTGTCCGGGCAAAAACTCGATTTTGAGATTTTGTGCTTACCCGGGCCTATTCGCTATGCTGAATCCGAAAATCCACATTGGAGAGCGCGAAAACGACGAAAAAGGGCTCTAACACTGGAGGGAAATCAGCAAGTGGGCGGGGTCTTTCCCACTGAATTCACGCTCCCAGCTTCGGGGGCGATCTTTTTGATTCCTGTTTCAAGTCATTCGCTTGCACTTGATCTGTGGTGATGTCAGAGCGGCTAACGGATTCGAGAGAATTGCTCTGGAAGCTGGAAGCGTGAATTTACAGTGGGGAAGACCCCGCCCAGTTGCTGATTTCCCTCTAGGGCCCGGGTAAGCACAAAATCTCAAAATCGAGTTCTTGCCCGGACACTGCATTTAAGAAGGCTACTAAAATAAGCCTTACTTAGTAATCGTTTCAACGCATTTATACTTCCTCACAGAAGTTTCTTCCGAAGTTACACAGAACTTTATCCCAAAGCCATAGATTTAACATGGAAAACCTTTTAGATTAGGTAGTTGTTTGTAATTTATTCATAATGGTAAACATTGCGTGAGTTCTAAGACTAGCACTGGGGGAGCACGAGGAAGGCCTACAGTGATAGAATCAGTGAACCCCTGCTGTTGTCCCGAAAGTTTTGTTCGTTTTTTCAAACGACTATAGGACCACACACAATAAAGACCTGAATGAATCTCAACATGCATTCGATGGTTTTTTCCTCTCTTTTAAGAATACATTTTCGAACCACAATCTTGTGTGCTTTTTTTGATAATTGCCAAAGTTCTCCATCCGTCAATTTTATCTGCTCAAAGTTAAGCTACTTTTTCAAATTTCATTCCAAAGTTCTAAATTTCATTCCAAAGTTTCGGAAAGGATCAAGTATGGACCAAATAGAGCAATTCTCGGATTACAAGGTAATATTTTTAGAGATTCCTTAATTTGCTGTTTTTAGCTTCAAAAACATTATTTCTTCGGCAGTTTCGATCTTTTTAAGTCATGAAACACGCAACTGCAGCAAATACACGAATTCAAAGCTTTTGCGAATTGAAATGTGATACTTATCAAACATTATTTATGCTACATAACCAAGTTTGATTTGCTTTGAAAAAGCAGCTTTTTGGAATTTTCGGTACTTTCAAGTGGTAAACGTATTCAAAAAGCCGCAGTTTTCATCAAACAATAATTATAACGAGCTTGGTAAACATGGATGTAATCTAAATTGGATACAATGTAGCCAAAGGTGCTATACATAATAATCTTCAGCGCTCTTTGAAAACATCGGGATAAAAATTTTTTGAAACTCAGTAAAGATTTGGCATTACTTCTGAGCTGCTCAGAAAGCCGTGGGGATAATATTGCAGAGGCAGAGTAGATCAGAGATCAAATACAGCTGTAAGAAAGAAGATAAATATGTATCAAATCGTACCTAAGTTGTCTATGCTTTGGTGTTCTGTGACTTTTAGTGAGCGACGGAAAAAAATGGACAAAACTTTCGGGACGACCTAATATTTCTGTGCTCATCTAAATGCAAAAAAAGAAAACTCATGGAAATATTTGCATATGAGCTGATAATCTAATACTTGTCGGGAATTCTCAATCACTGAGTTTCAGAGTTTTTGCTGTAGGACTGAATTCTCACAAAGTTGCTTCAGTTGTATTTTTGAGGTTTGTACTTTTGTTGTAAGGGATCTTCCATATCTCTTACTCAGGTTCAAAAAAATCAATGTTCAACCTACACGCCTACTCGAAGTATTATTCTTCTACGAACTTTGCAACATTCTAACACTAGTTTTATAAGACTATAAGGGCACCCGATTTGAGCAGTGACTGATAGGCTGCCGCCAAGGCAAGCGGCTCAGGTCCTCACGACGCCTTGCGCTGTAACGTAACTTTCAGGTATTTTGACATGCGAGCGGTGGTTAGGCTAAGGCAAGTGAAGACCTCGAGATAAAGGAATGAATGTTGACTTTACCTGCTGCCTTAGGTATTTAGGTAAGGAGACTATCCTTTACATGCTTGTGCAAGTTGTTTGAGGACCAGTGGTCTGCTGGGCGCCTAATGACGGCTTTTCTTTCCCCAATCTAGAACCTGTGGGTCTTTCCGCATGATATCGCATCTCCACTTTTCAGACGCGATTTCCAGAAGATAGTTCAGCACTCCAAATGAATTATGAATAATACTTGTCATCACTATGCTTTGGCATGACTCGCGACTCATGCCCTAAAAAGGGAAGCTTGCTAGCCATTCTGTCATATGATGATTTTTATGTGATTGGGGGTTGATTTTGACCGATCGGGGACATACTTGTACTCAATGTTGAACTGAAGTTTTCTTTTGACATCGAATGTTCGAATGAATGTTCTTAAATATTCGAATATTCGAATGACTGTCTTTCAAGTTGCTCGAATATTCGAATATTCGAATAACTGTCTTTTGAAATTCCTCGAATATTCGAATATTCGAATAACTGTCTTTTAAAATTCCTCGAATAAACGAATATTCGAATAACTCATTTTTCCAAATCATCGAATGAACGAATCATTCGAATACAGGCCTTTCTCATTTATTCGACTATTCGAATAATTGAATAATTGGACTTCCCCGAATATTCGATTATTCAAATATTCGAATAGTCGAATATTTCGAATAAATTATTCGAACACGAATATTCGGTTTTAACTACAGGGTGTCCCAAAAAGATGTGCACACTGTCTAATCGTTAATAACTCTCTTGCTTTCATGTCTTTTGTCAAGCTCAAAGTACCCTTCTATAGAGCGAGGTTCAACTTAGATTTGCAGTATGGAGCGAATCGACAGCCTCTCTTCATTACTGTAGGATTACGGTAGAGATTTCGAGGAGGATTTTGAACCATTGAAAGCGGTATTTCGCCTCAGAAAGAAAGCAAAACAAGCCAGAAACTATTGGACTAGGTTAACGAAGTTGCTGATTCTA